TTTTATTTTTAATTATCTCATATCTAAATTCAATTATATATCTTTTTTCTAAGTTTTGATGTCTTTCCAATCATTATATTTATACTTTTGTCTGTCCTATTTCAAATTCATATTATCTTTTCTCATTAAAGAAAAATTCCCCCATAGTTACTAATTGGAATATGACACCTTTATATCTTTTAATTTTATCCATTGAACTCTTATTTAAACTTCAATTTATGCCTTTAAAATTATAACATTCAATATAATACATAACTTCCAATCGAATTCTGCTTGGTACATTCTTAAAATACACACTATGTGTTCTCTCTCTCTCTCTCTCTCTCTCTCTCTCTCTCTCTCTCTCTCTCTATATATATATATATATATATATATATATATATATATATATATATAACAATAGTAAATAAAACACTCATTCCATTCCAATTCAGTTCTATCTATTCTTTTTCTTTTTTTCCATATTTTTCTTCACTAATATTTTTATAAATCATTAATAATAATTAAAATGTTCCTATCCTTTCTTAATTTCATTCCCTCATTCACTTTATTTCGTTTATTTATTAACAAACATTCCACTGCATTACAATAAGTATTTTATCCATCATTTTAATCATACATTGTTTCATATTTTCTAAAATTATTTCTATATCTAATATAACAATACGATCTTATGTACCTTTGCAGAATCCCTTTTTCAATTAATTTTTCACCCATTACCTCTCAATAGGCTTATACTTTCAATCCTTATATATGGTATCTCTGGACAACTGAAAAACTGGATAGAAGCATTCCTGGCAAACAGACAACAAATGGTCAAAATTGGGAGCGTCCTATCAAACTCTGTACCTGTCAATAGTGGTGTCCCCCAAGGCAGTGTTCTAGGACCAACTCTCTTCATACTCTACATAAATGACCTCTGCGATCATATTAAGAGCAATTGCATTCTTTTCGCTGATGATGTAAAGCTGTTCAATACCACAGACAATACTGCTACCCTACAAAAAGATCTCGACTATGTATCAGAATGGTCAAACAAATGGCAACTTCAAATCTCAACAAATAAATGCTCTGTCTTACATATTGGCAAAAAAAATCAGAAAATAAAATACAAGCTGAATAGTCAAGATCTTGTTGATGACCCAAGCTCTGTAAAGGACCTTGGAATACTCACCTCTAATGATCTAAGTGCTAGAGCCCACTGCAACTACATAGCCAAAAAGGCATTAAGAGTTGTTAACCTAATCCTACGTAGCTTTTTCTCTGGTAATATCACACTACTAACCAGAGCATACAAAACATTTGCTAGACCAATACTCGAATACAGTTCATCAGTCTGGAACCCACATTACATATCTGATATTAGCACAATTGAGAAAGTCCAGAAATATTTCACAAGAAGAGTTCTCCACTCCTCCACTCGCTGTAAAATACCTTATGCCACCAGACTTGAAATTCTAGAACTAGAAAACCTTGAATTACGCCGTCTTCGGTCTGATTTAAGCATGGTATATAAAATCATACATTGCAATGTCTTACCTGTCAATGAATACTTCAGCTTCAACCATAACAACACAAGAGCACACAATAGATACAAACTCAAAGTTAACCGCACCAAACTTGATTGCAGGAAATATGACTTCAGCAATAGAGTGGTCAATGTCTGGAATACTCTACCCGACTCTGTAGTTTCTTCCCCAAACCCCAAAAACTTTAACCTTAGACTGTCTACTATTGACCTCACCCCTTTCCTAAGAGGTCTTTAGGGGGCGTGCATAAGCGCACCAACGTGCCTACCGTCCCTGTCCTATTGTTTCTCTTATTCTTCTTTTATTTTTCTTATATGTACCCATTTCATGTATTCACAACTATGTATTCACTTATACTTATTATCTTGTAAACAATTGGCAAATCAAATAAATAAATAAAATAAATAAATAAATTTTCCCTGTTTCTCTATATCTTGTTTCTGTCTTTTATGACTTCTTTTCCTTTCCTTCTTCCCCCTCTTCTTCTCCCTCCACTTTTTGCCCCCTTGTCTCTCTAATTCTAATTCTCTGTGATCCTCTCTTCTGTTGCTTCCTAATATTGTAATTATTTTTCAAACTATTTTTTTTGTTTTTCAAATCTTAAAGTTTTCACTCTCTTTTCCTCCTTTCCTCCCCCCCCCCATAAAATTACTTGATCATTTAAAGATGGCTTCTTCTTTTTCCCAACCTTCTTGTTCTACAAGTGTTTCTTGTTGTTTCTCATAGTTCCAGATCTCCATTTCTAAAAATTGAAATACGGAACCAAAAGAACCTCTTCCTTCTTGTGCATCTTCTTTCTGTTTTTTAAGTTCCATTTTCAGTTCTTCTAAAAGTGATGTCAATTTAAACACTTTTAAACAACCACCGAATTGATTTTAGTCATTTAAATCCAATAGCCAAAAATCCAAATAATCCAAAGCTGTTTCTTCTTGCTTTTTTTCCCCACTTTATCTTCCTGGGGTTCTATTATTTCATTACAAAGTTTCAGTTAGAATGTATCTTTTAGGAATCTTGTTAAGGTTTCACTGTAAGTTCATTTTAGTTCCAGGCAGTCTCCTCCATTTTTCCAGATCCTGCTCTTTTATTCTTTCCTTTTCTCTCCTTTCCTGCTTTTAAAGGTTTTTGAGTATCAAAAAGTCTTTATTATCACTTTGACATTTTATTTTCAGCTTAAATGCCTATTGATGTCAAAGTGGATTTTTGTCAATTTCTTACTTAAATCTCTTAGCTGTCAGTATAAGGAAGGGAAGAAAAAAAAAGCCAAATCCTTTCCCTTCCCTCACTCCTTCACTGCTTCAAAGTCTTCATTGGGAACAATGTTATTTTTTATAGTTCAAATTCCAGGGTACCTTATGTTGTTGCTTTTTCAGTTTAACCCAGTCAACCAAAACTTTCTCTTCTTATCTTCCTCCTGCACATTCTTTTCCAGTCGAGTTCTTCTTTGAGGTGGCCATTTCTGACCACCGCTGCAGCCGCCTTCGGGAAAGGAAGTAATGGCCAGCTGAGGAGGAGAAATGCGGCTCTCCTCGACCCTGCTGGCGGTCTCTCCCCTCTTCATCACCTCTACGGGATGGCTTAGCCCTGAATCCAGCCAGCTCAGGGCGCTCCGGCTGCGAGCACGGATCAAAACTGTGCACGATTGCGGATTTTGGTCTGTCGCTGAAGAAGCTCAAACCAGAAGTCCAAATTCATGTTAACTATTGATTATGTGATTGCTCTGGGGATTTAAAAAAAAATCAAAACTATCAATCTTTTCCTACCCTTCATTATCTTTGTAACAGACTTGAGGTGTAGCTCAGACTGAAGGACAGCAAACTTTAATGAGCTATGTATCAAACAGGAATTTTTAATTCAGTATTGTTAACTAGAGTTTGATAGCAAATCTAATGTGCAGTCTACTTTTGAACTGCAACTTTCACAGTCTCTTATTGCTGACTATTTTTATTTATTTTTTATAATTAACTCAAAGCAACAGACATATCCAACACACCATCCCCCTTCTATTTTCCCCACCACAGCCTTGTGAGGTGAGTTGGGCTGAGAGAGAGTGAATGGCCCAAGGTCACCCAGCTGGCTTTCTTGACTATGGTGGGACAAGAACTCATGATCTTCTGCTTTTTGGGCTGGTGTTTTAACCATTAGACCAAATTGACTATGCTAGCTATGCAGTCTTAGAACTGAAGTCCAAACATTTTGAAAGTGCAAAAGGCTGTTCCTTTGCCTATGTCTTCACTGTCTTCCCAGCTGATTCTGTAGATGATGAGAGCAGAATATCGCCTTATTTGTAGGCTGTCAGAAGAATAATTTGGGTTCCAACTCAAGCTGGGATTGTGCAAGAATAAATAAAAATGAAATTCAGACAGCTATGAGAAAAAGAGAATTATTTATTCTCAAAAGCAAAGAGACCCAAAAGTGTTTTTGCAAGAGGCCTCTTCAGCTTCTTGGATAAGAAGTGAAATGTCTTCAAGGAAAAACAAAGAAAGTCCAGTTGCCTCTTGAAAAAGCACCTTTGGGACAACCATGATCTGAATGACCAGACAAAAGCAAAGAGATTTGCCTATAGGGTTAGCCACAGAGGAAATTGGGTACAGAGAGATTGTTTTATAGGGCAGCTTGTCCTTGGTGTGGATTTCGAGGGGTGTTGGTGTGTGTATACATGTTGACCCTCAAGAAGGAGTTGATTAAATTAAGTAATCAAGTAATGTGATTGGGTATTTTCACTTGAACTATGTTATAATTATGTTTATATTGTGTTAGTTGAGTTTTGTGTGTTTATTTATATGTGTTTTCAATTTGAAACAATTGTATAATTCTTATGTTTGTGTAAGTTTAAAAGAATTTCAGAGGCTGTTAATCAGCTACTGTGTTGGAGACCTGGGTTAACTAACATATTATTTTCTATACAATATTTCTAATAGTTATGTAAATTTATAAATTCTTCCCATGGTGCTTATTCAGGTAAGCCCATCTGTACATCTACTTCTTTCTTTTGTTGGCTAAACTGTCAACATTTGGCTTTGTCACCACAATTTTCTTACTGTAGAAATTATCAAGTTTAACTGCTTGCCCAGAATGGGACTGTCCAATGCTATCTCCCTCATACTTGCTCTAGTACCATTTAGCTGCATTTTTTACATTCAAGGACTACCCACAATCAGAAGATACCTATTTCAATCTAGAAAACCTGATTAATTAAATAATCTTTATTTAGTTAAAAACCTGTCATTAGAGTAATCCTTCAATTGCTCTAGGTTTGCTCATGGTATCAAAACAAATACTTAACAACAGCATTTCATGTTCTGGAACAATTGATAGCCTGCAAAAGTGAAAAGACACCTTGGGGAGTGGAAGGGAGAAAGCTAGAGAACTAATCGTGTTGATATTGCCTCTGGTCTTTCTCTCTGTGTCCCAGACTCATTTCCAAGCCGTAAGTGTCATCTCTTTCACTCCATCAAGGCAAGAAGATTAAACATGCAAGTGGATCTGATCCCTGGGGCAATAATACTGTTCATTGTCTTTCTGCTCATATTCTGGGTCTTCCGGTTTCAGCAAGAAAGAGCCAGGTTTCCTCCTGGCCCAACACCCTGGTTCTTTCTGGGGAATCTACTGCAAAAAGATGCTCTGCCTTTGTATAAAACCTACCCCAAGGTAAGACAGTCTTTGATATGACCCCTTTCTTAGTGGGCAAGAGATTCAAGAATCATTTGAGAGATTAGCAATCTCCCATGTTTTGAGAATATAGTATAAAACAGGAATTTCAAAAGTTGGGGTTCTTTCCAGCACTACTAAAGATGCTTCCAACTTCATTTCTGTCTGGCATGTTTTTTTTTAGTTGCAGGTTTAAGCACAAACATATTTTCTCAGAGAGTAAATGGTATAATTAAGAGGAACAGAATGCTGTACAGGACAAAATAAATATAATATTAATAGTTAATTTAAAGCAACTGTTCTTTCACAGCATTATTTAGATTAATCTATAGCTCAGTCTTTTGTTCCATTCTCAACATCAGTGGGCAATCTGGGAAGTATTCTCAGAAACCATTAAATAGAATGCCTGGTTTTTATTAATGATTGTTACATCCTTTTAAGATAGCTAAAACACATATAAATTGGGTTCATACATTGTGGTTTGTCTATAGATGACTTGTATGTGATTTTGGATGAACCCAGAGAACATGGATTAAAAACCATAGTTTGGGCTTCATGAGATGCTTGGACGCAGACAGTTGTAGTTTTTTCAGCTACAAATAAAAGTGTGAATTGTATGATGTGTCCTTTCCCTTTTCTTTGAATGCCCTCTTCTGCAAGTACTCCTTATGTATGTATTCATTTATTAAATACATATGCTGACAAATCCTTCCAGATTCTCATAGCTTGAGCAATATCAAACTGTATCATAAAAAATTAAAACATCCACAGTGTATGTAATCCCCTAAATAGTTTATGCTCACCAGATAATGAAACACAAAACCTCATTTATAGTATAACAATAATATTAATAATAGTTTCATGCATTAATGACAGTTTTCAATGTTTTTTGACCAAAGTTTGGAGTACACTAGTTTTTAGGAGACCATCACTGAAGAGCCCAGTTTTGTTTTTATAGTAATACTGTTCTGTACTTCAGAACTGGGACTGAAAAATATTTTCTGGCCTCAACCAAGTTTATCTCAGTTTGCATCTGCTTTAAGCTCTCAATCTTATATTCACAAATCTAAAATCTTATAATATGTGATAAACTGAGAATATTTCCAAGAGACGTAGGTGCATTGTTCTGTTTACAGAAAGCCAAAATTACTGTTAGGGATACAACACCCTAGCAGAACGTGCAACGGCAGTCAAGCA